TCCAGAAAATAATTTAAAAGAATAATGCAATAGTATTTTGTTGCACGCCAATCTGTAAACTGGCAATTTACGCACGCGGAGCGCGCTTTACAGACGTTGCTGCAGGGCAGCGATTATGAACACACGTTCTGTTCCGAGATTGGTCGATTGTCTTTTGTGATCTGCAGGTTGACCAATCACGGAACAGAACCCCAGTGCACACCGCTGTGAGCGCGTGTTCATAATCGGCGCCCCCAGTAGATTGCAAGCTCGGCTTCGCCGCGCGGGCCGTAATCCACACGCGAGTTTTGATGTCCTGTGCATATTATTATTTTCCTTCCTCGGTGCACTTTATTTTTTGTGATACCTACCTGAAAAGTTATCTTTTCGCAACCATCTACTGTGCGTAAAGTACTTGTCTTACGCACGTCGTGCATAAAGTTCAGAGACCGTGTGTAAAGTAAATTCTCGTGCGTAAAGCTTCGCTTTACGCACTCGAAATTCATTTCACGCACTTCGTACACAAAAGCAACCACTTTACCACCACTACCACTCCGAACAGTGAACTTGGCAGATATCACAAAGAATAGGATGTGTTACGCGTGCGTGTGAAAAAGTGGTTCTTTACGCACTTGTGTAACACAATATACTATTTCATCATAACGGCACGGTATAGTTCGATTTTTCGCCATAAATGCAGAGAGGAAGATGCGTTATGTGTGTGTAATTGCTCCGGCGGGCGCAAAATACACATTTCCCTTCCGTTTCGCGGGAGAGAAATCTGACTTTGCGCCCACGCCGAGGCAAAAAACACCGTTCTAACCGAAAGAGATAAAATATAAAACACCCTTACCCACGTGCTTACCGCATTCGCCTTCTGCTCGGGTAATTCCGCACGTGAGCATGACTGCTTCATTTTACCTCCCTACGTTAGAAATATACTGTTATAAATTTCCTAAAGACGTTCTCATATATTTACTTTCTCTTATTTCAATTTAAGGATGTTTATCTAAAATCGCAAGTACTTGAAAAAAATTAATTTTTTTCAACTGAGAGATGAAGATATTTTCTTCACTTTGATACAAATTTTAATCCACCAACCTATGTTCATTAACCGAGTGGAAATTCTCGTCAGGTCTTGATCAAGTTTGGATCAGGTTAGACCTGACCACTGATCAGGTATTGATCAAGTTGACGGATCCGATCTTGATCAGACGTTACGCGTCTGACCAATCCGGATTTGATCAGGACGAATAGATCCGAACTTGATCAAGTCAACTGTATGAAAACCAGATGACCTGTCTGTCAGTATCAAGAAAAATTATCAATGATAATTAATCCAAAACAAAAGATAATTCAATTCATTCACCGTAGGCCGCCTCTCTTAATGAATCTCTACTGTTATTACCTCTGAAAAAGCTTATTATTTTTTTACCGATGCTGGGGATCGAACCAGGGACCCTATGATTGCTAACCCTATGCCCTAACCACTACGCTATTGCGCTATTACTATTGAGTAAACTGTACGTTGCCTGTATGATTTGTATCGGGGTATTCGTTGAATTTACGATTATTCCTGATCTCGCGGATGTGCGCGTGTATTCTCAGAGATGAAATATGCTCAATTAAATTTTTATTTATTTCATTAATGAATAATAATAATAATGATAATAACAATAACACTAATAAATAAATAGATATTTGGTGATTTTGTTTTCTCAAGATCATTTCGGTGCATCATCATCCCTCCCTTCTGTACATTTGAGAAGGGCTGGCTGTTAATTAAATTGATTAATTAAATTAAATTCATTAAATTAAATTAATTTAATTCAATTTATTTTAATTATAGTATAATGATCCTTTTTGAAGATTGACAATAATTATTGATAATGGTTGATAAAAGTTAATTTGAATAGTATAATAATATTTAATTAAATTATCCGAAAAACTTATTAAAATTAATGTCAGGTGGAGCGGATCTGAATCTGATCATTTTCTCTTCAATTGACCTCTTTCAAATGTCGATCAAGCACATCAAATCCGAATTTGATCACTTTGGGGTCAGGCAGCCGACCTCAAGGTGAGATCGTGCCTACCTGATCAGAACTTGATCTGAATCATCCTGCAGTGTTTCGGATCCGATCTACTGGATCAAAACTTGGTCAGGTTCTCATCAGGCATCATCTGATCATGTCTACCTGATTTTTTTTTTTAATTGTTATTTTACATCGCTTCGACTCGGTTGAGTATATTGCGATGATGATCAAGACTTTAAAATGGTTAGATCTCACCATTCTGCCCGACCGGGATTTGAACTCGGAATCTTGCGCACGTGAGGCAACGACTTTACTCACTGCGCCAGGCCGTCGGGCATGTCTACCTGATCAGAACTTGGTTAGGTTCTCGTCAGGAATCATCGGATCAGTCGAACCTTACAAAAACCTGAGCAAGTTCTGATCGTGCTTCAGGTGGGCCTGAAGCAATTTCCACTCGGGTATTTAAAAATGAAATAGACAAAATGCACCAAATGCATGCGTTAACATGCGCTTATATGGGATAGAATCATTCACATATTTCCTCTTTTTGCCCAGATACCCTAGATTTTTCTCTGACCATTGGATTCAGTATGATTTTACACATTACCTTCTATTTTTATTTCTATTTTTAGAGTCTTCTAGTAGGTTTATTATCAATTTGAACATAAATTTCATAAAAACCCATGTATATGGAAAAATTAGTTTATTCGTTTCTGCCGAGATTATTGCGAATAATTTTTTTTTAACGTTAGAAAAGTTAGTTTTATATGTTCTGCTGCCAGCCGAAAAAATTGCAGAATTTTCCTTGACCATGAAAAAAAACACATTTACCGACAATTTACCGATATTGGCTAAACACCCTTAAGGCTCGGGGTGGATCATCTTTCGAACGTGATCTTGGTTATCTTTTTTATTTTGATAATCTGAAATGATCTCCAATTTCTATTCAGTTTTCCATAACCCTAGAGTCTCCAAAAATTATGATTGTATAATAAAAAAAAAATGTTGAAAAAAGCAGATTTTCAAAGAGCGTTTTTGAATAATATTGGCAAATAAACCCAATAGAGAGGAAGTAGCAAATTAATAATTTGATGTATTTAATGGCTGTTAGGTCATTTGTCAACAGTAGTCAATGGCTATCAGATCGTTAGTTACCATTATAAATTATCCATTCCCTATTTCCTCTCTATCGGACTTATTGCTTAATCTTTAATAAATACGCTTTTTGAAAATGTTTAGTTTTTTTCGACTGTTTTTGATTGTACAATCATAATTATTAGGAACTCCTGCATGATGTAAAATCCAATGGAATACACCATTGTGATATATTTTACATTATGAAGATGGAAAAACAATCAAGATAACGTTCGAAAGTTACTTGCCTATCTCATTCAAACGATTCGTTCTCTTCCCCCACAAGCGATATATTCCGGTTTTAAGAACAATATAAAGTGTAGTTAGACTTTTTGTAAATATTTACTCCTCTACCCGAAAGATATATATTACATACATCTACATCTTCCTTCCATCTTATATTTATACGTCTGCCTTCGTAATCATGACTAATAGCAATTCGGCTACACTAAAGAAGTAAAAAAATTATCGAAGCTGACCCTGAAGTTAAGTCACATAATATGAAGCCCTATGCAGTCTGTCGACCCTGTTACAGATATTGACTCAAGTACATGGATAATCTTACCAGTACCAATTCGTCTCGTGTTAGCTATTTCTACGGCTTTACGTGTCTATGCTTTGTATCTACTGATTAACGCAATTCCACGAGAATGGATGATTTATCGGAAAGTATCTCGGAATTTGAGGATGATGTCGAAATTTTTGAGAAAAGAATTTTTGCATAGACAATCAACATACTATTTCCAATATTTTTCGAAATATTTAACAAAAACTCATGGTCAATTCAAATAAAATCATATTTCATTTCTTCACTACTGCACTCCCCCCGCAAGCGACAAATAATCAATTTCCCATAGAAATCGTCTACACGGAGAGAAAAATTTAATAAAAATTACCAGAAGAAAAAGTAAACATTACCAGTGATGCCGCGCGACGAGATGAGATACTACATCTTCTCGTCTCGTCTCGTTGTCAGGAAACCCTTCTCTCGTCGCATCTCGTAACGAAATACAAAAGAAATTTCTTCTCTCGTCTCGTCGAGAATTGAGAGATCATCTTGTCTCGCCTTATTTCGTCTCTATAATCCAATTTGCACGGAAAAAAAATACACAGACGGGCAGAGGGGGAGGCTCTCGACTCTCGTCTCTCGTCTCGTCTCTCATTTCTCTCGTTCTCGACCGGCTTTTCTCGTCTCGTTTCGTTTCTGTCATTGTTTCTCGAATGATTCTTCTCGTCTCGTTTCTCTCGCGTCTACCGGCATCACTAAAAATTACGTTTCGAAATGGAATCCGCGAGCGAAGTATAATTCAGTAAAAAGTGTGAGTCGGAATTGAAATTATCTGAATGGCCACGTAAATTCTACGATTCGTTCCGTAAAAATTGACCACCCGTCTGATGACTCACCGCTGTGGGGACAATAAGTTGTTCCGTAATTTTCCCCCAACGATTGAGAAATTTTACGGAACGGAACGTAGAAATAACTCACCAGCGTCATAAAAATTGTTGAACGTTCCAGAATTTTTGATTCTAGAGGCATAATAAGTCGGCAAGTTTCTGTAAGATTTTACTTCTTCGGTAAAAATTACGTGACAATTTCGTACTTTGTTCGGTTTTGAACCTAAAAATTCACTGAACTTTTCAGATTTCTTGTCTTCCATTCCTATAAAAATTGCCGGAAAACGATTCCCGATTGCGGATTACGTGAATTGTCCCATGATTTTTACTAAATATTTCTCTCCGTGTAGAAGTCAGCGATGTCATTCTCACAAAAATCCGCTGTCTGGGTTTCAAAACAGAATCATTCTGGCATCTGCTTTTTAAATTCAAAAACACTAAATAAATTAATAAAACCTCTTTTATCCTGGGAGCTCGTCTCCATCGTTCCATTAAAACCATCTGCACTATCTGTCGACACTTGAACCACTCCTCCCTCGTCTGGATCCTCTCCATGAGTCCCATTCCCTTCATCGCGACCACGGTTAGCTCCTCCAGTTGTGCCGATTGCATTTAAATATTTTTGACCTTCAGACGTCGAAGGAGCTTCACTTGACGTCTCAGGGACATCTTTCAAGCCCCCCAGCTTCGTTGCAGATTCGTTCAGAAATCCGTCCAGTTGATTTTCACTGATAGAATGATAAACATCCGTCGATGTGTCAGCATGTTGCCAGTAGCTCTCATTACGGTTTATTATTTTCGTTAAATTCTCCACATCCTTTGATTCATCGTGAAGTGATGTAGTCCTGTTGAGCCCTCGACGTACGTTATTTTTCCTGAAATGGTTGATCTTCTCGATGATTTCGCTGATGGCTCTGTTATTAGGTCTCTGTGGAGGGCTCTCCATCAGGTATTCGCTGTGAGGGTCCTTCAAGCTTAACGATCCCCCCGGGGGCGGGTGCCAGAGGAATATGTAGTAGCTACTTAGGACTATTGCGACAAAACTCACTGACACTAGATATGCCATCACTGTAACTATCCGGATGATTTTCTTCGCGACAGGACGGTTCTCGTAGATGTCGTCCTTCGGGGGCTGACCGGCTTCATTGGCTGAGTCCTCTTTCGATGCCATCCTTTAGAAAAATTTCCGATGAAAATATGAGGTTGACAATAAATACGAGGAAATTGATTAATTTAAGCAATGTAAGTACTTTCAGCCATGAGTATTGTACACGATAATAGTCTAATTAAGTGTTAAAAACGTTTTGTTAATATCGATTTGATCCTGTAATGGGCTTTGTGCTAATGGACTTGTATGAAATTACAAGTTCACCGGAAATTAAGTTCTTCAGGTTCAGGAGATTAAGTTCTCAACGGTATTGGAGATTTTGGTGAATATCTTTTGGTGACTAATGGATTTAGGAGAAAATGTTACAACACATTTTTTATTTGTCATGCCATTTTTCCTTGTAGAAATAATAGTTTCTATGTTTCATATTGACAGTATATGTTGCATGTTTTGCACGTTTTGTTATTCAATATCAACATAGGTCGTAACAAAAAAATTAGTGAATTTAACTTTTCTACGTCTCTTTAAATATTGAATAATTGTAAGAGAAATCACTAAAGGATTCTTGCTTGAAAATTCATTATTTACAAAAAGTTTTATTGAGATTTTTACCGAAAATGATTCACTACCGAAAAAATAAAAAAAAGTACAAAAAAAGTTTGACCTAGTTCATTACCTCTAGCTGCTTCACTGATAAATTGAGTATAATCAAATGATATTCAATTTATATTTTTTATGAATTTCTATATAGATAGATGTTGGGGTAGTTGTTGTTCACTCAAACTATGCAATAAAACTCTTGGATGGCAGTGAAGACATAGCGTTACGCGTTTCCTTAAATAAAAAGTCGAATGGAATTTATTGTTATGGAGTAGACTACGTTAATGCTCACTCAAGTATAGCGCACGCAATACTGCAAGCTCCAGTTAAGTGTTCCAGTCAGAAAGCTCATGATAGCCACGTGTTTGAAATATGCGCAAGCGTTCTCTCGTTTATTCGGAATAAAAATGTCCGCGGAGGATATTACTTACCATTGCTAATAATGCTAAAGGGGGTGAGGAATTGTTTATTCTGCTTCATAACGGATCTGAATTGCTTGTCAATTCTCGTTTATTTTCAATGATTGATAATTCGTAATTGATTATGACGCATTACAATCTAAGTTTTTTCCTTTTTTCAAGTTTTTCGATTCCGAAAGGCAACTTGAAGATATAATATGCATATTTTTTGGATGTTTTTTTATAAATCTTCACACAACAAGTGCATTACTGCGTTGTTTACATGTAATTATTTTTATAAATCGAACCCACGATAACAGAAATTCATAAACAAAAAGATCCGGACATTGAGAAATACTAAGTTCCGCCACGGCGGGCGCAAAGTGTGCATTTGCCTTCGCGGGAGGGAAATCTGACTTTGCGCTTAGGTACGCCGTAATGGAAAATAACGTCCTGGCCACGGGAGGTAAAATAAAGGACCCTTACCCACGTGCTTACCACCCTCGCCTTCGGTTCGGGTGGTGATTCTGCACGTGGACAGTTCTTCCCTCGGGCGGAAAGTACTGATTACTTTTAGTTCATACGCTGTGACATGTTCTGTGTCCAATCCGAGGTCCATTGAGTTTTTTCATTGGACTTTATGTTTTCGAGGTCGCTGATCACGAATCTTCTAGATGAAAATTATTCGTCATGGAATGATCTAAAAGTTGTGGTAAATTTCAATCCGATAAGTTTAATAATGGGATCCGATAACTTGTATTTTGTATCGCGGGAAAGGGCAATTGAGGCTGAAAAATTAATGAAAAAATGTTATACAACAAAAGTTGTATATTTTTTCATAACGAACATTTTTTATTTCAACTATTTTTCTCAATCTCCAACCGTTTCTATTGTAGCATGGGCGGAGTGCGGAGCGGGCCGTGCGCGCTCGTCTCCGCGCTCCGCGCCTATTTTCAGTATCAATATCTCAATAACTATAAGAGCTAGGAAGAAACTTTATAAGACAAGGTTTTTGTATTTTTAGACGAGGAATATTTTTTGTTTGAAACTTTATTTCGTAGCTCCAACCGTTTTTGCGTAATGGCGTTATAAACAATTAAATTGTTATAAATAAACAAAACTAACCACATTTGGCAAAAACGGTTATCAGATTCGTGATCAGCGACCTCGAAAACATAAAGTCCAATGAAAAAACTCAATCGACCTCGAATTGGACACAGAACATGTCAGAGTATGGACTATTTCCTACCTCGAGACCAACTTTCCACCCTCAAGTGGGAAAGGATTCTTTCCTCTCGCTCATCAGAAAGCAAAGAACAAACTTGTTTTTGCAAGCGCGTTAAAATAGTATATTCCCTCTCTAGGTTGTGGGTAGTCGTGCCCAATTGCATTCCGCAAGTTTTCCGCAAGGATTTTCTGTCACAGCCTAGGCGTAAAGTCAGATTTCCATTGTGCACAAATGTGCACTTCGCGCCTGCCATGGCGGAAAATAGCATGTGTACCTCGGGCAGGGAATATAGGGACCCACAATAATGATATCATAGCAATCGTGTAACTTAGGGATAAAATATTTGTTGATAATTTTTCCTCTATATGAGATATTGTCATCCTGAAAAGGCACCCTCTGGTGTGAATTATCCACCTCTTACGCCAAATATTTCGTTGCTGTCGAAAGCAGAACAATTATTCATATTTGAACCTATCAAATTCGAGCCAAACAAATTCTTTTTTGGAAATTTTCAACAAGCGATTTTGTTGGTCCAAACAAGACTTGTTTGACATGTGTTCGTTTTTCTCTCCGTGTATTTTACTTCAATCCTGAGATATTGTAGAAAAACTAATTGACCACTGAATCGGGAGCCAATGTTTGGATTAATATATAAAATTTTTGATTTAATTGATAAAGTTCTCCATCTCTCTTAGGTTCCAAGTTATTTTCGAAAACCTCATTTTTTGGAAGGACTAAATTTTATCTTTCTCTTCATTTCACCATTATATTCTTTAGAGCACCAAAATTAAAAATAGGTGTTGGTTTGGAAAGTTTCCGACCTTTACGATGAGAAAAAAAAACAAAAAACAGTGGGGAACAACCTCAACTGACCGTTTACAACTTTTTTTGTGATACCTGCCTGAAAAGTTTACTTTTCGAAACCGTTTAGTGTGCGTAAAGTGCTTGTTTTACACACTTCGTGCACAAAAACAACCACTTTACCCCCACAACCGTTCCGAACAGTGAACAGTGAACAGTGGCAGGTATCACAAAAAATAGGATGTGTTACGCGTGCATGCGAAAGAGTGGTCTTTACGCACTTGTAACACAATATACTATTTTATTAGAGCTATCCATGTCAAAATATAATACTTAAAAACTATGTTTTTTTCGAAAAATTAAGAAAATTTCCGACAAAATCTATGAGTTTCAATCATTTTTTGTTGTTCATAGTTACTCGTAACTATAATCGAAGAAAAAAAGTTTTTAAAACAAAAAACCAATCCTCAATATCTCTGACAATAATTGCGTTAGCTCCAGTTACGCTCATTTTTTTTGAAAGAATTTTCTTTCCCTTCCAGAATAGAAGTAAACGTTAAAAAATTGGAGGCAATTTTTCATACACACTATTAACAGATTCGTTCATATAAGTCTCTAGTAAATCTCGGAATCTATAGTTTCGATCTACCTCCGAATCTATTCTGAAGAAAGCGGAATTATTATTTGGACTTTCTGTAACCGGGAAAATTTACAACAAAAATAGTTTTTTGATATTTTTTTCCTAAACCCACTTTTATTCCTCAGATACTAAAACATTTCAAAATCTTCTACATTCCATTTTTCTACGTTACACTATTCCGCAACGTTGCACTGGAATTATTCGCAATATTACTTACCTCTCTTATACTCCACTTAAGGCTGTTCATAATGAATAGTTTTTCACCCCTTCAATTACTATTACCATACAGGAAGTTAATTAAATGACCTCTCTTAATGCATTTTTTGCATGAAAACTACTTTCCTAACTATCGAAACCATGAAAAATAGGGGAGGGTGAGGCAAAATAAAACAGCCGAAAAACGACTATTTGACGCAATTCAAGCAAAAAAATATTTTTTTCATCAACTTCTATTCACTAACTTTTTTCATTATTGGGAGTACTGACGAGAATAATAATTTTTTATTCGTCTTATAATTCAATTGATTACATTAGACCGATTACACTTTTTTTTTCATTTCATTGAAATTCAGTATCACATTTTTCTTTTTCTTCCTCTGGGTCACTCCCTGGGCCTTCCTCTGGACTTTGAATTTTGCTGTTTCATTTCCTTTTCTGAATTTTTTTACTGGATGGAAAATTATTATTCTAATCAGTGCTCCCAATAATAAAAAAAAAGTTGATAAACAAAAATTAATAAAAAAAATAGTAAAATTTTTTTTTTTGCGTGAATTGCATCAAACAGTTGTATTTTCGACTGTTTCATTTCGCCCAACTTCCTATAGGAATAGTCTACTATTCTCCATTTCTTCGATAAAAATCCAAGAAGTGGTATCCGAGGATTTTAATAATCTAATAAATGCATCATTTCATTCACACGAGTAACAACCACCAATAACAAAGTCCCTCCCACAAAAATATATATAAAATATACAGCGAGTGCATTCGTCACGACAGCTGCGTCACTCTTTCATCGGAGCATAAAAATGTTGAGCATCTATTGATATTGCAAAACAAGTTCAAGGGTTAGGGGGTGATTGAAAATTCCATCATCCCTCGATTTCGTGATATCAGATTTCCCGAAGATGGTCAGCCTAGCTCGCAGTTTAAATTCTACAGCGAGTGTAAGTACACACGGATTCTTTGCATGTGTGTGGAATAGAGAGTTCACAACGATCGACATAAATATAACCTCGAAATGAATATTGTTAGTCATCAGTTTCTTCTTCGTCTATTTCGATGGATTTCATAATCGTTTGAGTTGACAAGTAAAAACTGCGCTGTAAGGAGTCGGATTGTTGAGAGTGCAGGGAATGGTTGATGATTTCTGATTTTTGGTGAAGGGTGCTGTTTTTTTCGACAGTCCGTTGAACATGGATGATGAGGAATATCTACAGCCTGTTCTGTCTTCTGAGGAGGAAGAAACTTTTCAGCCGCTGGATACAGCTCTTATTGCTGCTGTACCATTGCTGTTTGGGGTAATTATGAGATTTTTTGGATTATATTGATATCTTCAGCGTTTATCTGGACAAATTTTCCCCTGAAATCAGCAGTTAAAGAGATAATAAAATTGAATACTTGAGAGGTGAAAGCACTAATTTTTAAGATGTATCAAAAGAGCAGTTTCTAAATTTTCTCAATAACTCTACATCAGACAAGTGGAATACAATCATGTTTTTTTCGTCCCGAATGTATGTTTTTTAGTTTTAGAATAAGTTCTGATTCATCCAAGTCAGACCATTCCATCAGGGGATATTGATTATTTAAGAGTTCGCTTTGCACGGATGAACAAATTTAATAAAAAAAGCTAACGAATTTGTTAGAAAAATCTATTGGATTTCTATTGAACTGTCTATTAGTTTTTGGCCGATATTATTGAAATGTTCAATAGAAAATATGCAATAGAAACAGCCAATAGAATGTGATTTTTCCATATAACTTATTCTATTGAGATATTTTCTATAGAATTTCCTCGGCACAAATTTTCCAAGTTTTTTATTTCATTTTCTTGATGAAAAGAAAAGAAAAGTAGAATGAAAAATACTTACCAATACCAATCGCCCTTCTAAAATCCAAGCCCATAAAACCCTAGTTATATTTTTCAAGTCCTCACACCAAAAATGGTTCACCAAAAACCCCACCACATCACGCACTAAAAGATTTAATAGAAAAATCTAGTGAATTCGTTAGAACGTTGTATTGAATTTCTATTGAACTTTCTATTAATTTTTGGCCGGTTCTATTCAGGGATGCGAGAAAATGACCTGACCGGTCACTGACCGGTCACATGACTGTCAGTGACGGTCATGTGACCGACGGAAAGATGACAATTTTTGGTCATCTGACAAATCTGTGACCATTTTACCATCTGACCGTCACATTCCATCTAGCTAGTGTCCCCCCAGGTGTCACCACTTTGAAATTCAAAAATTCGTAAATCATAACGACCTTGACTCACGATCAGGAGAATTGGCATGAGTATCGCGATTGTTTCCACTCCACAAAAAATATATGTTATCGTGTTCAAATGCGAAAAAAATAGGAACGCTAAGTTTGCCCTGTCCAATGATGAAGAAGAAGAAGAGACTGAAAGTTCTGACTAAACTCATCTGCTTTCATCATTTATATTTTACTTTTTTTTTCTTGACATGGATTATATACTTTGTTATTTGATTTGTGCATTTAAATTGCACAAAGTATTCGTTTCTTTACACTAGTATTCCTGAAAGGAGACTGAAGAGAGCCAAATGATTGACGTTATTTTTTCGTTTAGTTTATAAAAGTATAAACTATTGAAGAGAAACAAATATAGAAGACTGGAAATGGCAAATTTAAGATGTGAGAAGTTTCATAACTGAACTAGAACTCGTTTAAAAATGCAATAAAGGCATTCAAATAAAAATGATAAACATGAAATTTTGAATTATCCAAAAAAATGTGACAACTTTTTGTGACAAAAACATTTCTGACGGTCATTTTACATCTAGCTAGTTGGTTGTAGAATGACATCAGGAAGTGTGACCGAATTTCTGACCTGAGAAAAAATGACGTCACATGACTGTCATTTTTCTCTGACCTGACCGATTTCAAAACGTGACGTCATCTCGCATCCCTGGTTCTATTGAAATGTTCATTAGAAAATATTTAACAGAAAATAGAATTTGATTTTTCTATACAACTTATTTTCTTCAGATATTTTCTATAGAATTTCCTCGGCTCAATTTTTTAAAATTCTATTTTCATTTTCTTCTCATCAAGAAAATCAGAACAGAAAAATTGGAAAATTTGAGCCGAGGAAATTCTATAGGAAATATCTCAATAGAATAAGTTATATAGAAAAATCGAATTCTGTTGACTTTTTCTACTGAAAATTTGCTGTTGAACATGTCAATAGAATTGGACAAAAACTAATAGAAAGTTCAATAGAAATCCAATACAATTTTCTAACGAATTCACTAGGTATTTCTATTAAATTTTTCCGTGTGTGTAGGGCCACTTCCGCTAACGAATCAAATATGATCTTTGTTGAATGTCCTTTATCTTGAGAATGAGGGATGTTAGAAGAAAATATATTGGAAGATTTCCAACAACAAAGGTTTTTTGGAATTTTTTCCTGAGCCCACTCACTCTCAGGATAGTTCAACATTTGACATGATCAAATGTCAATGCAATGATTTTATTCGGGTTGATGTTTAGAAATAGTTCTTCAAGATTTTTTAAATAATTTTCAGGCTGTCTTGGAAATCACTGGAATTATTTTCGTGTCCCTCTGGCCCGAGGAGCGCAACAAATGTGACACATATTTCATATTCCTCTACCTCCACTGTGCCTACTGGTTCATGGTCATGGTGACAGATTACCTTGTTCGCCAGAAGCACCACAACCTGAGAATCTGTGGATACCTTGATTTCTATCAGTCCACGTATCAGCACATTCGAACACCTCTGTTCATAGCCTCCCTCTGGAACACATCGTATCTGCTGCTCGCTGTTCTTCTCCATCATACTCATAAGGTCGATTATGAGGCGTATTGTCGATCGTCCGAGTGGTTCACTCCTGTCAATTACATTTTACTGCTGACCACCTTGGAGCTGATGATTATTATTCCTGTTTATGTGAATTATATCAGTGAGTATTTTTTGGATTAAAAATAAAATAGTCGAGAATGTTACCCGAGTAGGAGGGTGTAAAAGTAGCTGTTGAGCTGGCTTTAAAGAAACCACCCAGGTCCATTTAAGGGGTAACAAGTTATCGATATTTTTACAAATCCAAGCACATTAATCTCCAGGAAGCGATAATGAAGATCAATGTGCTTTGCGTTAAAAAAATTACTTTGAGCAGAAAATTTGTTTGAAAATTTCGAGGAAACGGTAGCCTTCTGTTACCCCTTAATGCTGGTCATATCAGTACCTTCTTAATAGGAAACGGTACCCCCTCAGTTTACCGACGAATTTTGGAGGGGTCATTTGGTAGTCAAATAATCAACTGAGACCTTTGTGATTTTGTATATTTGATATCGGAGGGATTATCTATGTCCTGAATAATTTTCATACTTATATGAGGAGTAAAAAATTACAGATTTCACTACCACCGGAAACTATAATGAAAAAAGCCAAATTTCTTGTCTATCATTCGACGAATTTTAAAATACAGATCTCATGACCAAGGAATTTATAATGTACAATCCAATGAAACTTCAAGGGGTAAGATTCTCCGAATAATTTTGACGTACGGACCATTTGAAAATTGAATGATAAATAATTAGGAAGATAAAGTGAAGACTCTACAAATATAAATTTCTAAGGATCCGCTAGATGGATCTTGTCTATCTCCACTCCTCCCATTTTCCGTAAGCGAACGGCGTCCCCACTCTGAAGGCCAACAGAATTTATTAGAATTCTTTACCGACTAGAATCATTGCATCTATGCTAATTCCATCTATCGGTTGGTAGGTATCCATCTAGCGGAGGGTAGCTCCACTACAATTTTTCAGGGGGTTTCCCACTCTGAAGCCACTCTCAAGCCAAGTTAGGAATGTCGAATGAATGGACTTATTAGCGCACACACAGATTTGTATGAGAAACATGTTTTAAATCGAATAAGGATTAAGGGGAGACTACTGTGAGTTTTAAAAGTCGCGGGCTATTGGAATGCGATTTCTCATATATTGAAAATCGCGTATAGATATAGCTAAAAATGAATAATTAGTGCAAAACAATTGACTGTTTATTGGTCGTTTGCCCCGCAGACGTTTAAAATGTTAAAAATAATCCAGGGGCTCCAATTTTAGAGCTACAGAGGTTTTTTTTTCAAAATTTTTGACAAAAATGTGTGCAATAGCAATGATGAATTAACAATGATATTTTTTGAAATACAACTTCTACACAGCTAATTTCGTAATTTTTTAAATAAAAAACTGTACCATTCATCTAAAATAGCGCGTAACATGTTTCTGAAAGAATCGAGGATATATTTTTAATATTTTGAGGATAATTTTTCTGCCTATTTTACATGAATGTTAGAAATTATTTTAAACAAAATGAAATTAGCTGTGTAGCAGTCGAATTTCAAAAAACGAATTCGTAATTATTAGTGCACACATTTTTTTAAACTTCTTGAAAAAAACAGAAGCCTTTGTAGCTCAAAAATTGGAGGCCCTGGACTATTTTTAGCATTTTAAGCTTGTGCGGAGCAACCCAACAATAAACAATTAATTTTTTAGCACTAATTATTCATTTTTAGACCTCTGTAATCGATCTTCAATGTATGAGAAATCTCAGTTCAATCACCCGCCATTTTTAAAACTCATAGGAGCCTCCCCTTAAATATATTTTTGGCAAAAAATGCTGTAAATGAAAGTAAAATATATGTTGAATATTGCATTTTTTGCCGCACATATGTGCATGTAATTGATATATATATATATATATGTCGCATATACGCGTTTTCCGTGCGGGCAGAAATTTTTTTTTTTTTTTTAAACGTGCGGGCAAAAATTTAATGTGGAAAAAGAATTAATATTCTCATGCTCGATTCAATATTTTTTAAAACATCCAATTTCATTTTTTTGAGTCTGCCAAACATGACATTAAAGTCGAAAGCGATAAAAAATTGTAGTCCAAGAAGTATTTATAAGGTAAAAACTGAAAGATTTTGTAATGAAATACAGGGCGAAATGGGTTTCTGATCGTCCTGAAATACCAAGTTTCAGAATAGCGCCTCCCTTAGGCGCTATTCAAATATTACGTCACTAGGGGGTTTCAACCCCCCCCTCGCTCGCTTCGCTCGCTCCCCCCCAAACTTCTTGGGTATGTTTAGGTGTTTATATTATACTAGGGGGCTTCGTCCCCTGCTCGCTTCGCTCGCCAACCCCGGGGGGGCTTCGCCCCCCCGCTCGCTTCGCTCGCTCCCCCCNCCGACCTTGGGCTTCGCCCCCTGCTCGCTTCGCTCGCCAACCCCGGGGGGCTTCGCCCCCCCGCTTGCCCCACCGCGTTTGACCCTGGGACACCCTGGGAGGACCCTTCTAACCCCCCCGACCTTGGGCACCCCCTGACTACCCCCCCTCACCTTTAGGCGTCGCCTGAATTGTCTTAAATTTTGCCCTTATTTTTTTATTATATAGAGAGATATAAAATCACCCTGTGACCTGTCAGGATTGGGTTGGCTTGAGTCACATCAGGTCACGTCAGGTCGGTTGGGGTCATGTCGGCTCGGGTCACGTCGAGTCGACTCGGATCACGTCAGGTCGGCCCCAGGACCACATCTGTGTCGCCCCAGGGCCGGATCAGTGTCGCCCCAGGGCCGCATCAATGTCGCCCCAGGGCCGCGTCAGTGTCGCCCCAGGGCCGCTCTGTCGCCACAGGGTCGGATCAAGCGTCGCCTGAATTTTTGGGCTTATTTTTTTATTATATAGAGAGATTTGACCCGCATAGAATTTGAACCCTACTTCACCATTGTTGATGTTCAAAAATAACTTAAGCGGTCTTCAGCAATTTTAAGGCAGTTGAAATTGAAGAAGGATTTCTCAAAGTCTAAATTATGTGAATCATGAAATACATGAGCGGCCAAAAAAAAATATAAAAAAGAATATGACCCCATAAAAACATATTAGAGAGTTAGAGTCAATAATTCATTCTCAATGGCATCATCAAGGTCACAGTGAGGGCCAGAATCAGGGACGTCTCCTGAATTTTTAAACCTTCTTATTTTTTTAATATATAGAGAGATAAGTTTTTTGGACTTTTTAGACCCCCCCCCCCCCTCAATTATGAACTGTCACAAACAAGGAGCTCCCTCGTATATTACGTTACAAAATCCACGACCCCCCCTCCCCTTCTTGTTATAGTGAATTTTTTAGTTTCTTCATAAAATTGGATTTAAATAATAGGAAAAAGAAGGTAAATGATTAAGTGAACAATTAAATCTTTATCCGATGCTTTTTGAACATTTCGTCATTTATTAAATTGTTCTCATCCCAATATTTCAAAATTTTTCTTCGTGAATTTTTGGGGTAGTTAGAAGAACTGATGGAACCTTTATTTATTTATTTACTTTTTTTGAGAAAATGGAAGGAGAAAAACATTGCATTTGTGATTTCCTAACTTAAAAATGAAACAATCAGTGCCGGTCGCTCGCTTCGCTTGCTCCCGGGTTGGGATGTGACCGGTAGAGATTGGAATGGTGGAATTGGTTGTGACCCATTAGTGTCGAACCAATAACTTCCCGACCCAAAACCCAAATTTTAAGTTTTATCTGAATAAATTAATAACTTGAGACAATTTTCATCTTAATTCAGTCCGCTTTCAGTTATATCGCAATCCAGTTTCTGCACAAATACAGCATATTTTTAAATGTAAAAATGAGAGTTTTAGTTTATAAAAACTGGAATACGCCTGAGTCAATTTTGTCCAAAATGCGCTCTGGTATACTGCATACGAATATTCATCGATTGAGTGGAAAACAATCCAAATCGCATGATTTCTACCGGAAAAATGATCAAATCAGTCAATAAAATGTAATTTTTGGCGTTTTGTCACATGTTTTTTGCGAATAACTAGACAACCGCGGGGGCGATCGTTTTCACAAACTAATCAGTTCTAAATTACATAGAGATGCATCGATCGCAAAAAAAATTTTAATCGGATCAGTCGTTCAAGAGTAATCGTCGGGCAAGATTTTGTTTACATACATACATACACACACGACCATATCTTCAAAATTTGTTCAAAATGATTCTAAATGTCAAGAAATATGGAAAAATTATAGAAATTCCACATTCGATTTTCGGGGTCATTACTATAACTACCCGATAGATCGGGAAGTTAAAGAAAATATGATGTGATATCACAACCTTAGCAATCTCCTCCCCCCCTCCCCCCCTGTTGTCACAAAGTGTCACAGATGACAGAATTCCTCCCCCTCTAATCGTGTGACGTAATATTTGAATTCTCCGTTAGGAGTATCTTATCAGACAGATAGAGAATTCTCTTCTCGGGTAACTTCTAAAATTAGGTTCGAGAATAGATAGCCCATAAATTAATTTCTTCCATTTCAGAACGTGTCCTTCGGTTCAATCGCACAAAGCCGCCCCCTGACGTAACCAGGGAGGAATGGTTGACGTCATTCACACAAGATTCGTACGCAGGTAGTACTGAAGTTGGTTATCAACAAAGAGGGTCCGATCTCACCGAACTCCTAGAGAAGCAAGCTGATCTGATAAGGTACCTTAGAGACCACAACGTTAAATTGAGCCACCGTATGATGCTCCTGGCGTCCCAACGTCGCGCCGAACCCTAGATGAAACCCAGTGAAAATTCTCAATTGAAAATGCTCTGAAATGTTTTACACCTCCACTGAGTGAGTTATGGATAAGTTTTTTAACCAGAAGTTCAACGTGTGCTATCTATGAATATGAATAATATATCGCGTAAAATTTATATTTCCGTGTGTGCAAAGAATTTTTAATATTTTCGACTTATTTTGACACGATCCATTCATTCTGTGTCGTATTGTCATCGATTAACTATCTCCTTTGCTTAGAATTATCTTGAAATTATTTGTTTAGTTAATAATTATCATTGGGTACATAAGAACGCTAGTAAGTCATCGATTATTTCAAAATAACTAAAGTATTACGTTTTAATTTAATTAATATTAATATAACAACGAGAGGGAGAGAGAGAGTCTATACCATGCAATTAGAATAATATGGTTTCTGTGATATGAATGGGATATTTTGAAAATTTATAATTCGCGTGTAAATAATATGATTTTACCAACTCAATAAAATATATATTCATTATATATTTTCAATGGTACATTTTCTAAACACTATTACATTATTCTGTTATGTTTATTATAATTCACGTCTTACAATGAGTGCATTATTTCTAATTGGTGTAAAGTTATAACAGGTCAAACACAATTCCCTGAGAATTATATTTGACCCAAAAGCATTCATCTCAGCTTCATACAAAGTTTTTATCATGTTCACCATTACAAAATCGATAGTTATCGCTAAAAACGATCACGGAATAACATTAATTGTATCCGTAATCACATCTATTATTATCATAGTATTGTAACCTAACCGTGGAAATAAAAAGAAACCACAAATTAAATAGTCTCCGTCCGACGATCGAATCACACCTCTCAACAGTCTTTCGCGTTTTGTTATAATTTTTCTAGAAAACAGTATTGCCACATTATTGCCACCCTACTATATGTGATCATACATTTGGGTTTATACATGTATTTTACTTCAACTGTACAATCAAAGCCCTATCACTAGTCTATGAACATTAACGTAAAATCAGCGATTCTCTCTTTATTCGTTCGGTTATTCTATTTGAGGGGTTTTAAACTTATTTTCTTTTCAGTAAGCCTAGGTTACAATGACGTCGGGTCAGCCCAGAAGATGTGTCAGGGCCATTATTCTAGTAACATCTTCACACTTCTATGATTACAATGCCAATGAGCTCGCAATTCTCTCATTTCTGCTCACATTTTCTCCTTCTACGTTATCATTACAAGGGAGTAGTGTTAGGCCTACACAGTGTTGCATTTAAATGTTTATTATTTTTTTATTGTCACATGTCAGGAGAAAATTGTCAGACTTTGATGATATATTTTTATCATATCTTTACGATTCTGCTGTTTGCTGCTAATATCCAAACGAGAAGGTCATATTTAGACTTATTATTTCAATAAAATTCCTTCAGTATCATTTGTCTTCAAGCCCCTTGCGAAAATGAACTGTCCCACTTGGATATATGATTGAACAAGGTCATTAGGTTGGAAAAAATATCAACTTTCAACTAAAATCATCTCACGTGGAATTTAAGAATAAGAACAACCAATGAACATCAGTCCTTAAAAATCATTGAAAATTAGCTTTTCTTAATACTTCAAGACCAAACTTATGGTCCCATTGATCTGAATTCCATTGATTGTTTTTTTTGGTTTTCAATGACTGTATGATCACGCGTGAGTTGGATGCACGACATTTCCACTAGTCGCTGACAACTGCTCTTCGGCCTCCATTATCTTCAATTTTCTTACGACCTGTGCGTGCTCCTCAAGCAGCCTTGCAAACTCATCGCGACGTGTTTCAGCTTCAACTTGAATCTGTTTGATTCTCTCACGTGGACCACCGGGACTGTCCAGTGGTGTTTGTGAACTTGAGTTCTGAGAACTGCATTCGGTGGACAGAGCCTCGCAATCTGGCTGCTCGCTGAGTATTGATGATGAATCAACGTCGTCCACGACTAGGCTAAAATCACAGTGTGGGAATTAGTCACTGGGGTTAATCAGGTTGGGATGGAGGAGTTGGAAACTAGCTCAATGACGTAGGGGATTTATTCATACAATGAAAACATGGAAGTTGGTTTTGTTTTGGGGGGAGGTTGCTATGCGCCGACTGATGGATATACTTCGATTCTGAATGGGTTTGGAAAATTGGCTGACGATTCAGTTTGTCATTGTATTGGAAAATCATGTGCGGAGGAGGAAATTTCTATGCAGGATTTTCCTGTAATGTGTTTCGATAAACTCATAGATGTCGAGATCTGGGAACTGGTCTCCGATTGAATCATGGGAATACCAGCATCTGTTTGATTCAGTATTTTCCTCGATAATTTCTACTTGTAAGCTTTTTTTTGCAAATTTTATTAATGACTACACAAACATTATCATTGGAAATGCGAACCTTTGACTCGTAGTTAATATCATCTACGTAATGTCTGCAATGCAACTATTTCTCGACAATCGTTTTGTCAAATATTTCTCATCACCGAGATATTCTTCACGATTGTATTTATTTAGTCAAATCAAGACACCATTCAAGGTTGATAGTTCCCCTCCCAATATTACTATCTACTACATCGATCCAAATTATAAAAAAAAAGAATTGACTGGATAAACCTAAAGTGACAAGATAGTAATCTAGAACAAGGATCTAAATACTCCACCATTTCACCTTCACCGACGTCGATGGCCGAGTGGACTAGACGCAAGTCTAGTGTGTGAAAGGTTGCGAGTTCGATCCCAAACAGGGATGTGAAAAAATAACATGACGTCACTGATCGGTCATATGACACGATCATGACAATTTATTGTCACATGATATGAACGTGACTGTTTTACCTTGTGACCGTCACATCCCATTTAATTAGTGGCACCCCAGGTGGCGATAACTAATTCGAAATTCGAAAATTCCCCATTATTACCTCAATGAATGGACAATCACAAACATCAACATGCATGTCAGTCGTATTTTAGTTTAAAGAAAGAAAAAAAAATCAGTAGTGAGTTTATTGACTAAGTGTCATTTTTCTCACTGGGAATGGTCGAACAGTTGAGATGAATGAATAAAATAAATGATTTCACATCAATTTTCCATCACAATTTTTGACTTGATATTCATCTGAAAATTACACTTAATTTTGAAGCCGGATATTCTACGGAAATTTTCAACTGAAAAATTCACTCCACACCGAAGAACTGGTGCAATTTGAAAATTTGTGACAAGATTTTGTAGCAGAAAAATTTATGACGGTCACATTACATCTAACTAGTTGATTATCATATGTGAGTCGACAGTGTGACCCAAATTATGATATGAAAAACCGTGACGTCACATGACCATCATATTTTTGTGACCTGACAGATTTCAAAGCGTGACGTCATTTCGCATCCCTGTTCCATTTGTTTGGAAATCCCAAACAAGGGGAACCGGGAGGTTGCTAATACAGTAACCGCCTGTACCGGCATGGGTTTCCTGTGGTTTCCTATGCTACTTCTACGTTCTATAGGACTGCGAATGCGGAACAGTGTAGAATTCACAGCCGCATGCATAGGGTTCGATAGAGTGCCGAATGGGACCCAAAAAAGAGGTTCGAAGGCCGTAATGAAAAAAAAATTCACCTTCAAAATGTTGAAACAAAGGGAGAGCTTCCCATTGTCCAACACCATTAGTGTTCTCTCATGAAAAAAACGAGCTGTACTCCCTCAAATTCATATCAGTCACGCAACTATTCTCATTTCATGGTAGAACGCTCCCCCAACAAAGCACAAAAACTTTCGTTTTTCATCTTGTGTTGTGCGGAGTCATCTAACAGCGCTCGGCTAATCGCAATTGCTTCGGCATTATCGTTTCCTCTGCAATTCGAGAGTTGAAAAACATCGAAATCTACTGTAATGGCCCCCCATTGACAAATCCTTACGTAAGCATTAACAAATCAACTGTTGCTCATCCGGAAGCGAATGAAGGAGTAAAAAGGAGAATGAAATGCTATGCACGCTCGCGGGTGAAATATCGTATTGCAATAGTCGAGGAATTTCTCCTCATAATGTCAAGATCGTTCAACCGTCGGACAATCAGGGACAAATTGAGCTGAGCCACGTACTCTTGAGTTTTCGTGGACTTTTCAAATGTGCCGTTCCAAAGGGGATAAAGCAGAGGATGGATCTGTCGACGTCTACAGCACGGTTTTAATAGCCGACAATTGTCGCTTGCGTCAATCCCCTACGTCACGCTATACGATACACGTCCAGTATCATGTAATCTCAGGAGTATCTTTCATCTGAATCAAACTAGATATTTTAATGATTGATTATGTAGCTGATTTTCAATATCGCTGATCGTCATCAGAGGGGTTTCACCGATGAGTCAATTGTTTTGTTTTCATGTATTAGCTGCTATAGGAGTCCCACATCAGCATTTATAATCTCTTTCCCCTTCTTTTTCCCAATCTGACAGACTTTTCTTCGGAAAGAGGATCATAAAAATTTATTGGTAATTCCATGTTCCCCTATCGAGTTTAAAAAATTGAATGAATTTCTTATCTGGAGTTATAAATAACTGGCTGTTTAGACTACACCCACGGAAAAGTTTCTCTCATATCAAGGAAATTCTGTTTGACCCAAATGAATAAATCCTTTATATTGAGCTTATTTATTTTAGGTCAATGATAATTTCCGTTCGCATTAAATAACTTTGTTTATGTTTATTGAGTTTACATCGAATTCCGGACATTCATTCTGATCTGACCACGAAAGTCGATCCAATCAACGGAATGGATGAATTCCCATCATTTCCATCATTGAAAAGAAAAATAGGAGGCGATAGACAATCAGGGCTTGGAACAATCATCAATTTCAAAATGAGTTAAATTTAGTTTATGATAACCAATAATATTATCCAAAAATCTTCAATTACCAAATTAATCATCAATCGAATATTCAAATTCCGAAATAATCTATCAACCAGTAATCGTATAAGAAGTTTGACCATTACATGTCTAATCGAAAAATCCTTTTATGAAATTTAAGATTGTTTACTCCATAGTTAATAGAAAATTTAAGTTATTAATTGTTTTATTATTTTCAAATTTCAATCAAGATAATAAAACCATAGTAATAGAAAGGTGCAAATTCTAATAATATTACAAATGTTATAAATGTAATGATTGTCGACCGATCGCTGTAGACAATTAGGTATTTCCTAATATGTTCTTCAAGTTCATTTTCACCCGAACAATTTCTAAAATATCTCAGTTTCGATAATTCTTGTCTTATGATCCCTCATCTGCAATCATCTGTGTTCTTCAACGTTCACATCACTAACATCATGAAGCCAACGTAAATAGAATTTTGTGGCATTCGTCGATGGTGAAAATATGATAGTAAAGGACTATATGAACATTACGTGTATTTTACACATGTAAAACTGTACGAGGAGTAAGGCACATTTCGTGAGGGCGTAACATGCTTTCATCGGGCCACATGAGGGATTCAGCGAGGAGGGGCGAGAGCAACACGAGCTATTTCCAGAATCTTTCGTGGTAGTCCATTTCCGATATGACCTTCGGTATTCCTCATGTTTTCGCTTCGATTATAGATCACGTTGGCCTTCGATCGTGAAAATCAATTGATGAGATGAGGAAAATCGATATTACATTGATGTGGAAATTGACTATTTTCTGTTTATTGATTTATGGGGTGTTTTTGCCATCAATTGTCGTGCGGGAATTTTTATATTGGTTTCATGAGCTGTATTGAGTTAGAAAAGATGTTAACAGTTTTGATGCATTTCTTACAATCCAGTAGTAAATTCGTAACAGACTTCTCATATTCGATTCTAGTAAACGTAGGGGAGGGTGGGGTAAAATGGACACTTGACTTTTTTTAAAATGTTCATGACGTGTTGAATTGTTCATGAAATGGAATAATTTTATTTTTTAATTGAAAGAACAATTCTTTCCCTTTGGGATGAGCTTAAACTGAGCTCAATTGATACATCTGTTTCTGAATTATGAATATTTAAGAAAAAGTCAAAAGTACCCACTTCACTCCACCCTCCTCTATACATAAAGAGAGAAAATACTTCTTTGTCCATTCACTTTTTAACTGATGACTATACAGGTCATTTCGGATGATTGGAAATTAAAATCAGATGAGTAATATTTTGAAATATCCCAGAAATTTTTGAGATAATTATCTTTTCAGTCCATGATGCTCAAAACTGTTTAATCTACATATAAATTCATACTTTCTCCAAAAATATTCCATAAGGTCAGTATCAAATTGCACGGCATGATTTTTAGTCATTACATTCTTCATTCAATCTATCCGAGAATTTTTCAACCGCAAATCGAAAATGTTTCTGTTTATGAACATTTTTCAATGTTTCAAAAAATTATTGTCTTGACGTTGAGACATCGTTCCTTTTAATTATGAGAATTAAAGAATGTTTTTCTTGAAAAAATATATAATTTTCCAATGTATTACACACCTGAATACTCCATGAATTTCTTGTCCTGAAGCCATTGTCACAGCAATATCCGGTAATGATCCTGCAAAACACAAATCTCATGAGTACGCAAAATATCGATTCATGTTCTTTTTCTGTTATGATAGAGTGAATTGAGAGCACGTCAGTCGGCAACACGTGTTTCTGATCTTCAAAAATAATAATTCGGTCATGCCCACTGGTGCTGACAGGCATAATATCGCGTATCGTTTTTTTATTCCTAGTATGATTTTTTGGTACTGAAATTAGGGGAGGAAACTAGGTAGGAAAATGAACGCAAAAAACGGGTGATCTAAGTGATTCCTATAGAGATTAAGGATCCGAAGCAGAGAATAGTCTTCACGGCATGGAAAAATATTCTTGTTTAGACAATTTATTATGCTTTCGATTTCAAAAAACGTCGACAATGTGATTGAATGTGAAAATCTCGAGAATCACTATTTTGATTTCAGAAAATCTAGTGAAATCAAAATAGTGGCCAAAGATTGCAAACTCAGGCGAAAAATCGATTTCTTACTCGCTTATGCTATTATCTGAGCCTCGAGCTCTACGCCAAACTTTCCGTTTTTGTATCCATGTGGCGTCATTTTAAAAGAGCCTCATTTTATCCATATTTTGGAATTTTATGACTAGTTTCGATCTATTAATGGAAGAAATCAATCTATTTAAAATTATTTTTTATGAAAAAATTCTGCTAATATTTTCTCACTAAATTACTCGTTTTAAGGAGAGTTACAGAATAAACGAACATATTGACTTCATTGACTAGACCACGTGACATTTTTCTCTCGGGAATCCCCTGAAATCGTTTCATCCCACCAGAATAAAAACGACTCAATAACCGCGATTAATTATCATTACTCAATTTCATAATTGAGCTTCTGAAAAGAGCGTGAATAATTTCATCAAGCATGAGAGACTAGCAAAAGATACCAATCGCCCTTCTAATATTCTATTAAAACCCTAGTTATATTTTTCAAGTAGTCAACTCCAAAAATGGTTCATCAAAAACGCCATTACATCACGCACGAAAAGATTTAACAGAAAAATTTTGCGAATTCGTTAGAAATTCCTACTGGATTTTTATTGAACTTTCTATTAGTTTTTGGCCGATTCTATTGAAATGTTCATTAGAAAATATTTAACAGAAAAAGTCAATAGAATTTGATTTTTCTATATAACTTATTTTCTTCAGATACTTTCTATTTTATTTCCTCGGCTCAAATTTTCTAAGTTTTTTTGATTCTATTTTTATTTTTTTCTCATCAAGGAAATCAAACCAGAAAACTTGGAAAATTTGAGCCGAGGAAATTCTATAGGAAATATCTCAATAGAATGCGTTATATAGAAAAATTGAATTCTATTGACTTTTTCTATTGAATATTTTCTATTGAACATTTCAATAGAATCAGCTAAAAACTAATAGAAAGTTCAATAGAAATCCAATAGAATTTTGTAACGAATTCATTAGGTTTTTCTATTAAATTTTTTCATCTGTGATCGCACAATGTTGTTATGAAAGAAAAAAAAGAGAAAACTCGTGATACGATTTTCTGGAAATTGATGCCCCATCAATACCCTCTATCCGTTGACACTCTATTTTCCTCCAAAATTAAATCGTTAGTGATTTAATAAATGATCAATGTCAACAGTGTCAACCTATCAAGCCCTATTTCCGAATGAATATCGTAGTAGTTCGCCTGCACACGTGTGGATCCTATAAATTCGTTACGATAGCACAATAACGTCCATTTAGACGAATCGGAAAATGTCATCGGCATAGGTTGGAGGCAAAGAGCCAATGCAGTTTGATGCCCGCCTTTTTCAAGAATATCGATCCCTCAACTTTAGTAACATCATGTATACTTATTGTTCTCGTTATTTCACTTAACCTCAACACATATTTGAAACACGGAATTCACCTCAATTCCTACTTTCGGCATTGACAGTGACATTGACGTCAATTCCACATCATTATGTATGAAACAATCATTGATGGCCTCATTTCAATGCATGTCTGAATGGCGTCTGCGTGATTCAACATATCTCATGTTCATGGGAATTTTTAGTATCTATAGAAAACGATTTCATCAACGTTCTGAGTATTGTTATAGCAATGATTCATGTGGGACTTTATTCGCGGGATGTCCATTGGAATTTTGAGTTTCTGTAGAACGTGATTTTATAAATGTTCCCAGGAGTCTCATAAGGATTATCGATACTGTCAGAAAAAAATGAAATTTCATGGACAATTTAACAGAAAAAAAATTAATTTTTAATCTTTTAATTAACTTTCCGACCCGAAGGGAGGAAGTTACTGTAATGACCCCAAAAATCGAATGTGGAATTTCGATGATTTCTCCACATTTCTCGATCACCCGAATCATCCTGATACATTTTTGAAGACATGCCTGTGTGTGTGTGTGTGTGTGTGTGTACGTATGTGACCAAAATTTTGTCCAACGATATCTCGTGAACGAATGAAGCAATTGATTTTTTTCTTCCTTCAAGCGATGCGTGTTCATGTAACTTAGAACTGTTTAGTTTATGACAACAATTGACTCAGCAATTTTTTATTTATCCACATAAAACTTGTAAAAAAATGCCAAAAAGCGTTAATTTCATAGAAATTCGACCATTTTACCTAAGGTAACGATGGGATTGGAATTAATTTTGTGTAATCGATGCGTCCCCACATAACTTGGTTCTCATTGGATTTTGAGCAAAATCGNGAAACTTGCAAAAAACATGGCTGTCCACAGGATGCCTTAAAAAATCTGAATAAATTTGAGAAGTCATATTTTTCCATATACAACCACAGGAAAAATCGGCAATATGATTGGCGATGGTGAGGGTTTTGACCTGGATGAGTTCCCATGGAATACCCCGTATGTATGTGTATGTACTTTTTTCCGCAATTTTCTTTATAGGAGCTCGATGAAATTTCATGAATTTTTCCATNCCCACATAACTTGGTTCTCATTGGATTTTGAGCAAAATCGCCTCAGTGATTGTTGAGTTTTTTAAATAAAACTTTCGAATTTTGCAATTAAAAAAAAGGGAGAGTTGGAAAATTTTAGAGTGGTTTAACTTTGAAATTACAAAATTTTGAAGTGGGTCAACTTTGAAGTTGCAAATTTTTAAGTGGGTGTGCTTCGGAGTTGAGAGAATTTTGAAGTGGGTCAAGTAAAAAGTGGGTTTANCAAAATCGATTTTTCGACGCTCAATCCAAGAATTATCAGAAGGAAATGAATCATGGCTTAAAAAATTTGTATTGATAGCCTCTTGATTTTATCAGAATATGACGGATCGCATCTATCACTATTGAGCTACAGCATATAGTTCGTGAGATTTTTTTTTCCATTTTTTTCATGATAAACTGAAAAAATTAACTGTCATATCAATGAAATCATGGCNCCAGCGTCAATAAAAACAAATGGTCGGGAAGTTATTGGTTCAACCCGTAATGGGTCACACCCATTCCACCAACCCCTACCGGTCATACCCCAAAGAGGGAGCGCGCGACCAGGCCTGATTTTGTTTTTGTTTTTGTTGAGTACTTTTTAGAGGGGCGATATCGAATTCAATTTAGGGGGGGGGGGAGAGAGAATAACAAATTTTCAAATTTCCCTCAATATTTCTTCTTCTCAGATGTCAGCCAATCAGAGCAACTGATGCATAATCAGAAGGTTCCTGGTTAAAATCCCGGTCTGGACTTTCCACTTTTTCAGTAAAACATTTTCTGGTTATTCATATTGAGAATAATCCCGGTTCCCCTCCTACCTCATTCAAATTCCATCCAATCATTTCTTATGACGTAACAAAGATGTGGAACGTTACATAAATTCCCTTCTTTAATATCAGAACTATCTAACAGTTTTCATTGGAAATTTTCGCCTAGCTCTGCATTTTCTTTTTCCTCGAAATACTCCACTCCGATCGGGCGACATCTGAGTAAAAGAAATGCCCCGATAAATACCACTCGTGCTCCAAAATTAGCGGTTATTTTCCCCAAACTTTCCTACGTAGAAAAGAACGTGCCAAGTCTTTCAGAAAAATTTAACCAAATTGTGCTGAATTTCCAATGGATTGAAAATTCAATAATATATTTAGCTAAACTATTTGCGTCATTTCATTTTTGTTTAAAGACTCTTCGTGACAACTTAATTTACTGACTGTGCCTAAAATGACAGGTTGAAATTTTTTTTGCTTCCGAATGGAAGCTTTGTAATCGTTCAAAATTAGGTTTCCAAATTTTTGTGTCAGTGTAACTAAACATGGTCTAAAAAGTCGAAATATGCGATTTTTAGATGNCGGATCGCATCTATCACTATTGAGCTACAGCATATAGTTCGTGAGATTTTTTTTTCCATTTTTTTCATGATAAACTGAAAAAATTAACTGTCATATCAATGAAATCATGGCTCAAAAAAATTGTTTTGATGCTTTCTCGATGAAGTGCAAAGATAATGAAAACAGCATAACTATTTACTAAGTTGCATAGTAGCAATATAAACCTATAGGTCATATGGAGGTGATATATGGGTTATATGGGGTCATATAAAAGTTGTACGGGGTTATATGGGGGTTATATGAGGTCATTTGGAAGTTATCTGAGATCATATGATGTCATAATGGGCTCATATAGGAGGATACAGGGTATTATGCAGTCATATGGCAATATGAGGGTTATATGAAGTGATATGGGTTCATATGAGGTTCATATAGGGGCTGTATGNTTCCATCCAATCATTTCTTATGACGTAACAAAGATGTGGAACGTTACATAAATTCCCTTCTTTAATATCAGAACTATCTAACAGTTTTCATTGGAAATTTTCGCCTAGCTCTGCATTTTCTTTTTCCTCGAAATACTCCACTCCGATCGGGCGACATCTGAGTAAAAGAAATGCCCCGATAAATACCACTCGTGCTCCAAAATTAGCGGTTATTTTCCCCAAACTTTCCTACGTAGAAAAGAACGTGCCAAGTCTTTCAGAAAAATTTAACCAAATTGTGCTGAATTTCCAATGGATTGAAAAT